CAACCAAAGATTACGGATTTTGGATTATCAAAGCAGATTAATGAAATGTCTATGACCTCAAACTCAGCCGTTAATGGGATGCCAGAATATATCGAACCTCAATGTCTTATCAAGCATCGATATAAACGTGATAAGAGATCTGACATATATAGCTTTGGACAAATCCTATGGGAAATTTCAAGCGGAAGACCTCCATTTCAAGCCTTTGAATCTCCGTTTATGCTTTCTATTCATATTTCCGGAGGAAATAGAGAAGAACCTATAGAAGGCACACCAAGTCAATATGTCGAACTTTACCAAAAATGTTGGGACAGCGATCCTGCCAATCGTCCAGAAACAAGATTAATTCTTAATATTTTAAAACAAATTATTCCTAATGAAACTTTGAGTCAAAGCCATCTTATCAAGTCATTATCTGAGAATAACGAAATTTCCTCAAGAGTATTAGTGCATTTGAAATTACATCATCACCACTTTACTTACATGATTCAAATACATCAGCGCATAATGACTATATCCTTGAAAATTTGAGAAAGAAAGCACATGAATTTTTTGAACAAGGAAATTTTGCAAAGCATTAGAAGTTTTTAAAGAAATCCTCGAAAACAGCCAGCATAGCCCTGATGATCAAAAAATGCTTCAATCTGGGATTTTTCTTCTAATAAATGTGGCGTGCTGAAATTAACAAGCTAATAAAAGCACTTCTCAAGAATACTACTCTAAAAGATTTGAATCTTGAAAGTACTAATCTTGGATCCGAAGTAGGAAAAGCATTAGCTGAAGCACTTTGCAAGAACACTTTATTAACGTCTTTGAATATTTCTTGGAATAGTCTTGGGTCCGAAGTAGGAAAAGCATTGGCTGATGCGCTTTGCAAGAACACTTTCTTAACGTCTTTGAATATTTCTTGGAATAATCTTGGATCTGAAGTAGGAAAAGCGTTAGCTAATGCACTTTGTAAGAACACATCATTAACAACATTAAATCTCGAGAAGAATAAACTTGGATCAGAAGGAGGAAAAGCATTAGCCGATGCGCTTTGCAAGAACACTTCCTTAACCTCATTGGATATTAGTTATAATGAACTTGAATCAGAAGGTGGAAAAGCATTAGCTAATGCGCTTTGCAAAAACACTTCTTTAACAACATTAAATCTCGTTGCTAATAATCTTGGATCAGAAGGAGGAAAAGCATTGGCTAATAACATCTCCTTAAAGTCTTTGAATATTTCTCGGAATAATCTTGGATCCGAAGTAGGAAAAGCATTAGCTGATGCACTATGCAAGAACACCTCTTTAACAATGTTAAATCTCTATTTTAATAATCTTGGATCAGAAGGTGGAAAAGCATTAGCTGATGCACTTTACAAGAACTCTACGCTGAAATATTTAGATATTTGATCTAATGATATTGGTTTTAAATTAGGATTAAACAATTCTGATATTAAAATAATTGAGCTTTTACCTATTTATAATAAGGCACATTTGTTAAAAAGCTTGGAAAAGAAATTTACCAGTGCAAGAGATAAACAGGATTTAAGTTTAATATTTATTGATATAGATAATTTTAAACGCATCAATGATGAATATACTCATAGTGCAGGAGATTATGTATTAAAAGAATTGGCTGCATTAGTTCAAACACTTATTCGTCCTGAAGACATTTATGCACAATATAGCGGAGAAGAGGTTACTGTCCTTCTCAAGAATGCAAATTCTGAGCTAGCTTTCGAAAGTGCAGAGAAAATTCGAAAAACTGTTGAGTCTCATGAATTTAATTATAATGGAAAACGTTTACCAGTTACAGTCAACAGTGGAATTGCTGATATGAATTCATCTGTGGAATCTCATGAAGAGTTGCTTAAGCGTGCTGATCAAGCTTTATATGTTGCTAAACGTCAAGGTCGAAATCGTGTAAAAATTTGGGCTAAAGACATTGACTCAGTTGGTAAAGAAATTGACTCAAATGGCAAAGAAAGCGATTCAAATAATAAAGAGGTTGACTCAAATGGCAAAGAAAGTGATTCAAATAATAAAGAGATTGACTCAAATAGTAACTTTAATGCTAATATTGCTTATCTAAATGTTTCAGATTATCTTGAGATTTTTTCAGGACCTATATACTTTCCTACTAATAAAAAAACTATACAACATAATAAATTGCCTTCTGTAATAAACGAGCTGTCAGTGACATTTCAATTGAATCTCAAGAGACATGATTCAAATTGGATATCTATTTTTCATAAAGGTATGAGTAATTAATTAATTAATTAATTAATTGGTGGATATTGTTTAAAGTTGGCCCGATTAAAGTTTTTAGAGTAATGTGGATAGAGTTAAGAGTCGGGAAATGAAATGGGGTGATCCATAATTAGCACATAAATGATAATTATGATAAAATAGTTAAACATCGTCTAAAATAGCAACTTTTTTATTGCAAAAATATAAAATGATAGGTGAAGATGCGCAGCAGACCCGTACCCCAGCGCTTTGGCTAACACCAAATAACTCACAACCATGCTTTATATGCTCAGTAAATAACAATTGGAATTATTATGGTCATATTGAAACTAGTTTTGAGTTAAACAGATGGTGTCATATAGCCTACACGCTTTCTGAACCTCAAAAACGCATGTAAATGGTAAATTGATTGGGTCCTTAGAGACAAAAGAAATTAAATTCAATGAATTTCCTTTGAAAATTGGGCATTCTGGTGTATTTGCAGATTTTCAGGGACAAATGAGGTATGATTTACTATAGCTAAGGTATATTAAAAAAAAAATCCGCTGTCTAATTAAAAATTGTCTTTCACAGCAATTTTCGATATTATAATATTCGTTTATCCGCTGATGAAATTTATAAAGATTATATATCATATCATATCAATGAGCTAGGTCGAAATCAAGTAAAATTTAGGACTAAAGAAATTGACTCAAATAGTAAGTTTTGAAATTTTAAAATGTAAAATCTTAAATTTTTATCAATACTAAAATTGTTTATCTAAATATTCTCAGATTGTCTTGAGATTTTTTCAAGACCTACATATTTTCCTACTAATAAAAAAACTATACAACATCATGAGTTGCCCTCTGTAATAAATGAGCTATCAGTGATATTTCAATTGAATCTCGAGAAACATGATCCAAATTGGATAACCATTTTTCATAAAGGTATAATTAATTAATTTATTTATTGATTAATTGGTAGCTCTCGTTTCACGACAATTAAGGTTGACCTGACTTAAAGTTAAGGTTAGCCTTTAAAACTAACGTTGGATAGTGCTAGAGTCAGAAAATAGCTATCAGTATCAGTGAATCCATAATTATCACAATAATGATAATCATGATAAAATGATTAAACATTGTCTAAAATAGCAATTTTTTTATTGTAAAATAAAAAAAAATGATAGGTGAAGATGCGCAGCAGACCCGTACCCCAGCGCTTTGGCTAACACCAAATAACTCACAACCATGCTTTATATGCTCAGTAAATAACGATTGGAATTATTATGGTCATATTAAAACTAGTCTTGAGTTAAATAAATGGTATCACATAGCCTACACACTTTCTGAGCCTCAAAAGCGTATGGAACTCTATGTAAATGGTGAATTGGTCGGATACAAAGATGTGAAAGATATTATATTCAATGAATTTCCTTTAAAAATTGGATATTCTGGCACATTTGCTGATTTTCAGGGACAAATGAGGTATTATTTACTACGGTTAAGGTGTAATTAAAAAGTCTGTTGTCTAACTAAATATTGTTTTTCATAGTAATTTTCGCTATTATAATATTCACTTATCCGATGATGAAATTTTCAAAGACAATATATTATGCCATAGCAATGAATTAGGCTTTAAAAGAGCTTTCTGATCATTCTAAAAATTTAATCTCTTCAGATCCGTTTTCTACAGGTAATATGGGTAATATGATAACATAACATCGAACTAGTGGACACTATAGTCAGGCTTCCTGCAGTGAAATGTTTTATTGCATAAAATGAATATAAGGGATATCAGAAATATAAAAGGGGTTAGGTTAGTTTTAGCGGTTTAAACGGATATAAAAGGTTCAAGATCATATTAGTGACTCAGGACCTAATAGCATCAAATTACAGTTAAATAAAACTATAATACATTATGGTGGTGCGGATTTATCTTTAACTTATTTTTGATCCCAAATTAAATCTGAAGGCCAAACTTATTATTGATTTCCTAAGATTGATTACGTTAACACAATAAATCAAATATTCTAATGATTATATATTGATATACCCCCCTTTAAGTGACACCCCCTAAATGTATGATTAAGTTTGGCCCAACTCATAAGAGCCCTATATATGCAAACACCTATAAAAGCAAAATTTTGATTTTTTTACACTATGGTCCCGATGGGATGTACTTTTCCAATTGCTTGGACGTCCAAGATTGTCCAAGGCATCTCTAAGCATTAATAATAAATTTATATAATTATATATATATTTAGGTACTGATTATATTTTACTTAAGAAATGATATTGATTATCTTAAATTTAGAGTAATTTTAATTTATTTTTTGTCTAAAAATGTCCAAGTATGTCCAATGACAACCCTGTGTGACTGTATATCAAGCAATTAAATGACTCGCATGCGGTAGTCAAACTTTTCAAATTTGGGGTATTTTACAAATGCACTGTAATGACCGTAGCAATGCAAATTTTAGTTTTAGATCCCTTTACTATTTGATAAGCGCATACATATAGTATATGCACGAATGTTATACGACTATACGCGCATAGCATAAAAATTTTAATATAGATAGTTATTGATTTTTCGGTCTTTTAGACCTTTAAACATATCTTATCAATAACTCCATTCTTGGTTTTGGTGCGCAACTAACTTACGGGATTACATGATTATTAACAATTCTGGCATCTAATCAGTTAACCTAACTCTAAATCGTGCCCACGAGGAATGTCTGAAGATGGATAAGTAGAACGTACAGATCTACAATTTCTGTTTAGAAAAGTTTTAGAAATATATAAATATCTATAGTAAACTATTTTTCTTCGATATTATCTTTACTGTTATTATATATCGAATATTGATTTTAATGCCATCGCATCACTATGTAAGCATATTGTACTGTATATAATTCGCATTCTTTGTAATATATGTACCTCAAGTTCAAGAAGCTGTCTTTCCGAAAGGACAAAACCTGAAAAGCTAGATGATGTTGCCTACTGACCATTTTTTATCAGCTTTATGTCCTTTCAAGAAAATAAAATTAAGATTATGAGATACTAATATAAGTACAGTACCAAACGTGAGGAGATCATGTGAACATGCAATAATTGAAGCGTCCAATGAGAGGCAATACCGTATAGTTCCGAAATTAAGCACCGTCAAATTTTATGTAATATCCGAAAATAAGCACCCCCTATGCATAATCGTATCTGATTTTTTTACTAAACAAGCCTACCTCCTGTCTCTAAGTAAAGTTAGTCACTAAGTCAAGACGACCCTAACGGTTGTAAAAAAATCATCAAAATTGGTTCAGTAGAACTCTCACAATTGCTCTTCAAAGTTCGGTGCAGATAATGTAAACAAACGTCATCCAAATTTTGAAGAGAATTGCGAAAGTCCTACTGGACAAATTTTTATGATTTTACTGTCGTTAGAATCATCTTGACCTGGGGAACAGTTTTACTTAGAAACAGAAGGTAAGTTTACGTAGTACAAAAATTCTATTTATTTATTTTTAAAATTATATCCTAAAATAATCATCACTTATAACAAAAAAAAGGTGCTTAATTTCGGAACTATACGGTACGTGTCCCCACGGCAACCGATCAGAATATTAAACTTTTTTTGAATAATTATTTACATAACTTTTTGTTTTATCAATATTATTTATTTTCATCATGTCATAGGACATTATAGGTGTAAAATAATAAATGCAGTAAAATGATGCTATTGTATTATTAAAATAAGTTAACAGCTAATAATACAGAATGAATACATGCAATTCATTAATAATTATATGTGATTACAATGAAATGAATGAATAAATTAATTTATAATTATGTTGATTACAATGAAATGAATGAATAAATTAATTTATAATTATGTTGATTACAATGAAATGAATGAATAAATTAATTTATACAGTAATGCCATGATTAATCTTCACTATCAGTTTCAATTGAAAAATCAAATTTTACAGATCCCATCGACTGTTGTGAATATCTATACGCAGCCTTTTCTTTTACTATTACATCTTTATTAGTTGAACGTTTTTGTTGGTATGAAGATGCAGATGCATTTTCTTTTTTAATACCTTCAATATTAACACTATGTAGTACTGATGATTCATCAGTTGGGGTTATAGGAATATCATCCAGGTCTACATTATTTAAGGAATCAGTAACTTCATCCAATGAATCAGAGATTTCTTCGTTATCTATGGAATCAGGGATTTCAAAGGTTGAATAATCTTCGTTATCTATGGAATCAGGGATTTCAAAGGTTGAATAATCTTCAGAATCAGGGATTTCAAAGGCATCGTTATTCATGATATCTATGCTTAAGGTTTCATAACTGGGATGGTGTTGTGATTTCGTTGTTAATGCTAAGTTTAATATTAAGTAGATAAAATTAATGTGCATTAGTGCATTAAATTCCTATTTTCAACTTGTTAAATTTATAATGGAGTTTTTTTTTTGACGTACCTTTAGTATCATGAAAAGTACTATACGGGACATTATGTGAATGTAATTCTAGCTGCTGTGGCGCCTTTAAGAGTTCATCGCCTCTTTTGAATTCTTTAGCAGTACTAGAATTTGGAACAAATAAACATTGATTCAACCATGTTCCGATAGTTGCATAAATTTCGCTTGCATCTGGTCTCTTTTCTGCATTACCATTCCAACATCTTTTCATCAAATCTACATACGATTTTGGAGTGTTCATTGGAATATCAGGTCTCGAACCTGAAAGAATGCTCAACATTAAAGACGAATCATGCATAATATGACCAAAAGCTCTTAAACCAGTTAATATTTCCCACATAAGAATTCCAAAACTGTATATGTCGGACGCTTGAGTATATGGTTTACCGCATAAGACTTCAGGTGCAATATAAGGTAATACACCAAAAACCTCCTTATTACCATCTTTTATGGGCGGAGTCGCCTGGCCTAAATCACCAATCACGAATCGATATTCATCTGCACGACCCGGGTCTCTACCCGATAGTCGTTGACACATCACATTTCCACTATGTAAATCACGATGCATAAGTCCAGACTTATGAATCTGACATAAACCAGTGGCCATGTCATAAAGAATATCTAGTCTCTTGATAAAATTGAGTTCAGAGAAATGTTTTCTCAAGTATGCAGATAAATCACCATCATCAGCTAATGTCATCACTATCATGTAGGCTTTTGATACAGGATCTCGAGTCATACCATAAGTGCGCAATATGTTGAAACGACCTACTACTTGGTCATTGGACTTTAAATGGGATTTGAGCTAATTCATATTTATATTATTTTAAAATAATTTGATAAATAATTAATTTAATTAACATAAAAACTTTATTAATAAAATTAATATAAAACTTTATTAATAGAAATAAATAATCACCTCTTTAAAGAGTTCGCTAGTAAAATCTTTCTCTTTTAAATCCAATAAACTTTTCAAAGCGACGTTGACGTTTGAATATCTTTCCCAAACTTCTTTTTCAACATTCCATTTAGTTCTTGGACCATCAATCCATTTTGCAGAAAACACTTCACCAAATCCACCTTTACCGATAGGTTCAATATTTGTTAAACTGGAGAAAGGGATCCACTCTAAGAAATTGAATTTTGTAGTAGCAGAAAGTTGAGTATCTCGTATAAAGTTATCAATGACTTCATTTCCACTAGTCCAGTTAGGAAAGTTGGATTCGAAAGTTTCTCGATCACATTTATCACACCATTCATCATGAGGTTTTTGACAACCACATTTATTACAGTAATGAATATGATTATAATTCGAATTATTTGAATTTTTTGAATTTGTTGAATTCGTTGAATTTGATGTTGTATTGTTAGAAGTTTGAAGAATGACATTTTGAGTTAATGATTCTAAATTCTTTTTAATTATATTTTTACTTTCAATAATATAATCTTTTTTATCATTATTTTCATTTTTTTCCAAATTATTTATTACATTATCGTCAACTTTAGGAGCTTGAACCAAAGAGTTCAACATTTGTTCAATCTGACTTAATTGTTTGCCAAGAGCGTCAACTTTTTGTTCTAATTGATGAATGTCTTTTGGTCGATTTTGAGGAGATAGAGATGAATTGGTTTCCACTTGTTCATTATTTGAAATAGGAATTTCAATTGGAATATATTTCGCTTTATGATCAGATTTTATCTTCACTTTATGAGGAGTTCGTATTTTTGTATCATCATTCTTATTATTTATAATGGAATTTATAGGGTCAGAATTCGTCAAGGAAGAATTGTTGGTGGTTTCTTGGGATTTTACAGATTTAGAAGTTTTAAAGGTTAATTTACGAAATAAATTACCAATAAAACTATTTTTTAGTGCTATGTATCCTGGGCCCATACACCCATCACGATAACGAGAGTTATTATTCTTCGTTGTAGATGACATAATAAAAAATGATATACATACTAAAATTTTTTCAAGTCCATGCTTGAAATAAATTAAGTATTCAAGTTTAAAAATTTTACGTATAAAATGAATTTGTGTATTTATATTATTAGTCATTACTTACTGACTAAATAAGGCACATTTGTAACATTCAAATTATAATTTGTAACATATAATCTACAAATCGTAACATCCAAATCATGAATTGTAACATCAAAAATTACAAAGTGTAATCGAATTTTATTAATTGTTTATATTTGTTCACAAGCACTCAAATATTAATTGTGACAGATATTGTTATTTTTATTATATAAGGGCGTAACTTTTATATATTAAATGTGATTTTCATCAAATGTGATTGGATAATGCATGCCAAATATATTAGATAAACTTCATAAGTTATTAAATTATCAACCATTAATTAAGTAAGAACAATACTTTACTGTAAAAGTGAAATCCTTACTGCGGTAAGATCTACCAAGTATGTTCTTATCATTTTCTACAGGGGATCCCCAGATTTCCGGGTCGTAATGACCGGAATGCGTCGTGGTTAGGGTCGGGTTAGGTCTGAGTTAGGGTTAGCGGGAGCTATAGGCTATAGTAAAATTATCAGCTGGGCGCTTTTCACTTAATGGACGACTATTGTTTCATTACTAAAATTCTTAGTGATCTTGGGGCAAAATTGATCAACTCCAGCCCTTCCGGCAAGAGTTCCGAAGCGTCCGACCCGGAATTTTGGGGATCTCCCTGTAGGAGTTGTACTTATCGGCATATACTGCTACGTATTAATTTTCACTGATTCTGTGGTGTAACGTGAAAATTAACAACCTAACTTTCTTTCATTAATCAAAATTTTGACCTAAGAAATCGCCTTTCGTGCACTAACAAAAATAGTTCCTTGCAAAATTTTAGTATATTTTGCTAACGCTAACTCTGACTGAACTTTTAATTTTAAAAAGACGGTGATATGTAATTATCACAAATAATTCCAACCAATAGAAAGTGCAGAAAGTTTAAAAAAATGCGACTAATGTTTGGTACACAAATTTTTTGTAATGACAGTTATACCTAAATCACATGTTATGCACTATTACAATGTATTTGATCGTAGAACTCCTTTATAAAGTAATCATCATTATCAAAATATTATATATATGTTGTACTATATATATATTTATATTGAAGTTTAAGTTCGTTGTGATTAAATAAATTATTGCGAATGAAATGATTTGAAGTGTATTAGGCAATAGCAAGTATTTATAACGGATTATAAATCATACTAAACGATCTGAAGAGTATTAGGTAATGTTAAATTAGTATTTTTAAATAAGTATTGTAAACATGGCATGGTTTGCTGTTTTAATTCCACTGATGGATTAATCAATGAGCATGGTTTGTGAACATAATTTGCCATTTTAATTTAAAATTAAATTAATGTAAATAAAATGGTTGATAAGTATTTCTGTATTTATGAACATTTTTCTATTTTTAATTCCACAGATTAATAAATCATTTTTTATACTCACTGAGTTAACTAAAAATTTTTATTTTTTATTTTAAAAAGTATATATGTCATAGGTGAGAACAGAGTTTAAGTTGATTCAAATTTTTAAGGTTAGGGTTTGGTATATTATTCCGTTTATTCCGTTTTAATCTAAGTCCATTTTCATATGATGAAATAATAAAAAGTAATTTATGAATAAGTATTATGAATTATTTCTGCTATAAATTATTCCGATTAATAAATCACCTTGATACTTACGAGTTGAGTGAAATAATTTGAAAGTTTTAGGTAATAGTAAAATATTGGATCTATAACATGTTTTGTGAACATAATTTGCTCTTTTTATTCCACTGATTAATAATTTTTTTTATACTCACATGCTAAATGAAATATGAAATGATTTGAAGAATATTAGGTAATAGTAAATATGTATTTATGAATAAACATAATTTGTTGTTTTTAATTCCAACAATTATAGTAATAAATCATTATACTCCGGCATAAAATATCATAAACAAATAAGAAATTTATGAACATAACTTGCAAATTTTAACATATGGATGGATTTAAGTCAACTTGAAACGTTCTATTAGAATTATTCACTTCTGTTGGTTTTAGATAGTAATTCAATGCCATCAATTCCGAGCTCATAGCAATAACCAAGCATGAGTATTCTATAAGAAATTCTTTCTTCTGATAACTTCTGGCAATTTGCAAATTACTAGTAAACGCTGTAATTTTATCTGCTGACTGTTTTTTAGTTTACATTTCATTTTAGATGCGATGAAAAATTTTTGCAAAAAAAAAAAAATTATTATTCTTCTTTTATCAAATAACATTTCAAATTAGTACCCTCTGGTAAAAAAAAAAATAAATAAATAAATAAAAATTTTTAAACCTTTGAGTGAAGATATCTCAACAGCCACCTAATCATATTTGATGAAACTTTTTTTATTATGACTTAACGGATTCAATAAACTAAAAAAATTTCAAGAGTTTGATCAGGAGATTGTTGAGATATGGGGTCTTTGCCTTGAAAATGACCCTACGGTATCATGTACCGTAAGGTCATTTTCAAGGCAAAGACCCCATATCTTCACTCGAAATTTTAAAATATCAAACTACCTATCAAAATGTAAGTGCAAGACTTTTTACAAGCTTTGAGCTAAGATATCTCAAATTGAATAAAAAAAATTATAACAAAGTTGATCATGTGGTACCGAGCATTTTGCTGGGCGGTTTGATTTTTTTTTAAGAATTCTATGAATCCGTTGAATCAAATAAAAAAGTTTCATCGAATATGATCAGGTGGCTGTTGAGATATCCTCACTCAAAGTTTTGAAATTTTATTTTTTTTTACTGGGGTACGAATATCAACCTAAGAAAAAGATATTAGTATGAAGCAAAAAAAGATCAAATACTTATTGAGTAAAATTCTGAATACAATGAACATCTAAATGACGACACTTGAATGCAGTAATACTTGGATATGAAGATGACACCTGAATGCGGCAACACCTGAATACAGCGACACCTGAATGCAATGATATTTATCACAAAACCACATGAATGCAATAACAACTGACACCTGAATGTGACAGCACCCGAATATGTTAACACCTGAATATTGTATAATGATACCTTGTAAACAATGACTCCAGACCAAATGAAAATGATGATACTGTAGAAACAAAAGCAACAACAGTAAAAAAAATCTGATACAAATAATAAATATTTAATTTACTTTATTTTATATAAATTGCGAGTATAAAAATTTTATTAATATAAATAAGGTACTTAAGTTATGAATACTTACAATTTAATTTCAAAAATTATTAAGTGTAATTCACAAGTATTAACTATTTAATTTCAATCGGTAAGTATATTTAAAATACGCTATTCATAACAAAATTATTAATATTTTCAAGCATAAATTAGTGACAAGCTTGGAGTTAGCATATAGCTTTTAACAAATTTGTACAAGGTTTTGGCCATATAAGCTTTTTAAATAATATTATTAGTACCTCCCAAAACCGGTATGCATGGTGAAAATATTATAAGCTTTAGATGTACATAACTGAAACGGACTTGATTGACTAATTTTTTTTTATCAGATTTGACAGAGAGGACTATATTTTTTAATCATTCTAATAATTGCTCATTTCTTATATCTTATTAATTAGCACTCAATTCACTTTATTAGAATATAATAATACATAGTAAAAAAATGATTATGATCGTTTATTTATCCTACTCAATATCAGTAGTTTTAGATTTATCAAGTGTTTTCAAAGACGAGATATATTCCACAGTAGGTTTGGAAGCATAGTACATTGGATTAGGTTTTGGAATTTGTGTGAATGGAATCTCGCTTGGTAAAGAGGCATCATTTAGGGCAGAAAGTTGTTTGGGAGTAAGTCTATTGTAAATCATGAATTAATTAATAAAAAAGAAATCATATATAAGTTATGAAATAAATTAAAAAATTTCGTAATGTCAAAACATACTTAAATTCTAATGCTCTTATATTCTCTTCCAAAATATCTAAGTTTCTTGCAGCTGCAACTACAGATGTGACTCCAGGCTGTTGAAGAGTCCAATTGATTGCAACCTATGCATATGATAAAAATGCAACATAAGTATAGATAATGAAAGAAGGTAGCTCATCAATATAAATTACCTCTGAAGGTGTTCTTTCAATTTCGTTGGCAACCTGAACAACTTCCTCAAGAATTTTCCAATTTTTTTCTTTCTTAGCAAACTCTGAAACGACCTTTTTTACAGGAAAGTCGAAATCAGAAGCAAGAAAATCTTTGGTATATCGGTTAGATAAGAAACTATATTTTAAAATGGATACAAGTTTAAAATTTGTGAATAGTTTTGATGAGTTGATGGAAATAAATTTTTGAAATAATAACTCAAAAGTAACATAAAATAAATAATAACCCAGAGGAAATGATATTATACGGGATAATGCCGATCTATTTTATATGGTAAGTTATTATAATTGCCATCTGATTATTTAAATTGTCACGAAACAAATTCAACAAACTTTATGCTTCAAGCACATAGGTTGTAAATCAAATTCGAACGAACGATCAACCATGCTGTACTGTGTTGATAATGCGACAAATTGGCTATTCGTAGTAAAAAGTAAAAAAATAAGTAATTGACATATGCGTAACGATGGAAATTGTAACATCGTCTTCTATTTACCTCCATCCACGAAAGTGAGAAATCATGTTTGCCTCACTGATGACCCATGCTGGTGTATCAGTTATTGCAATGTATAACGCCTTTTTGATGCGTATAAATATAGATATATGTTATCAAATAAAAACTTGAATAACTTGTAGCTAAATATAATTATAAATATATACTTTGCCACTTCGAATCACATCATCCAATCCTTTAAGTATGTTTTCGATGTTGTTACGGTAATCAATATGAGTATACAAAATATCGATATATCCAACTCCTAGTCGCTCCAAACTAGCATTAAGATTTTCCACGAGACTTTTTCGGTTCGGATCACCTTTTAATTTTTCATCAAAAAAATATCACTAAATGAAAGTGCAAATTTCTGAAACAATGATGAGTTTTATCTTATCTAACCTAAATTAGGATCCATTGTATCTTGAACATTCGGATGAGCTATTAATATTGATTATAATAACAATAAGTACAGTAATTCATAAGAAATTAGGTATATTGTATAAGGAAATTAAGTTTAGGACTTACTCGTATATTTTGTGGAAATTATGACTCTTGATCGTTTATCTGCTATATATTGACCTAATATACGTTCGCTCTGAAAAAGTTGAAATTATTTAGAAATCACGATAAATTATATGTAAAGAATTATTAGTTTAATAAATAAAATAAATATGTAACTTACTTCGCCAGTTCCAAAATTAGATGCATCTGAATATAGTATTAAATTAATTTATTGTCTTTAAAACCACAATTACAACATAAACTAAAATTGCTTCACGAAATTTCTGCTATTTTTTCAGAAAGTTAAACGATCATAGAAAGTATAGAGAAACTTTGGAAAAATGTGCAAATTTTAATTTGTCCTAGAATTTATGAAAATAACTGCAATGTATCAAAGTTCAAAATAATTATAAATTATCATAATAATTATTTACCAAAAAAGTTTCCACCAAGTTCATAATATTTGTCGAACACTTTCTTAGACATCAAAATATCATCATCCTTTTTTTCCTATTATCAAAATAAAATTTTATATTCCATCAATACTAGAATAAATTCAATTCAATATATCCTAGAATATGAAAGCTTACTTGCTGTCCGAATGTCTATTATAATGTGATAAAAAAAGTAATTATTGTTAATCACTATCTTTATTTGACTATTTGACCAATATCAACTATTTGAAAACGATAAAATCAAATATTTTCTAATTATAGTGAATAATAACTTTTAACTTTTATCTATTCTTCATGTTAAGTACGATAATATTTTTAAATTTAATTTTTGTAATACTTTTCAGACGATTTTATATATAAATAAAATTTTCGATCGTTTTTTAAAAATTAAAATTAACCAATAAGTGATCGGATATTTGTAACGCAAAAAGTTTAATTCACCATAGTCCCAAGGCATAATGGAGATACTTTTAATCCACTCCAACCCAAAGAAACGTAATTATCAATTTTAGTTAAAGCCTCTTGAGTTTGAGATGTGTCTGTGGACATATTTTATTATTTTTCTCGATCGTTCAAATATGTAAATTTTTTTTTATTTAACGATATTGAACTGATTACTTCGTTGTCACATAACGCTTATATTTATACTGTTTGACATCGTTGTACTAAACTAATCCATGTGCAAAACTTTACAGGAATGTATCCTGCTTTTTTTTTCCTAACAACATTTTCTCAAACGGAGGTTTGAAATTCATAACCAATTAACTTTATCAAAATTTACGAATCCTTAAAATTGCAATACAGTACCGAATTTTCTCAATAGAAAATTTCCGATATCATTAACAATAAATTTTGTGCACTTAACGTTAACCAATTATTTTCTTTCAATGTAACACATGTCCAATTTATACATATAGTATGGAATTGTAATTCCGTCATACCGACGAGTATGTACTAACCATATCAAATTCGTGCCACTTTAATTGTGGCGTTTATATTAATTTTTGATTTATTTGGCACTACTGTATTGATTAGCGTTAGCCACAAATATTTTCTTGATCATCTGTGTGGCGTGATATTTTTAATTTTTTTCAAATACTCCAAGCGGAAGTCTTTTTCGATTTTTAACCTTTGTTTAGTATGACGGAGATGCATCAAATATAACCCAAGTTTGCATAATGAGTGCATCTTCCGGCATTGCGAGTACAAAATAAAAATTTCGATTATATTATACAGTACTTATATAATTGGAAATTTTACTTTGTATTTGTAATGCAGGAAGATACTCTTATTATGCAGACCCTGATTATATTCGATCGCACCAAACAAGGCTAAATAATTAAAAAAAGGCTACTGCCTGCTGTTACTTTATGGATATACACAATTATGTGTAGCTTGATATGATAGCTAATCTCGGATGTTTTTAGGGTGCTAGCACCATAGGCATCATAATGAAATTAGATTGAGGCGCGGAAAACTTGATCCAAATTATTAGGGCAATGCTTACATGTAGAACTCGCTCCGAATTCAGAATCAAGGACTCATTATTATTTACTAATCGGAGGATATACGATTGAGCTTTGTTATCCTAATTTAAGGTACATTTACGCTTATTCAATAAGGTAATCATTTGCAATGAAAAAGTAGAGTTCCTTATGAAACTATTAATGCAAACTAATTATAAAGAAATTTTATGTCGATTAAACAAAGTTATAAGTGTACAGGAAATTGTAAGTCATCAATTACAATAGAACACACTGCAATTTCAAAAAAAAATGTAAAAAAAATAAAGTAATACACAATCGTATAATTTAGTTTGATTTCCGTTTAAGAGATTCGGAACTCGTTTAAGTAGATTCCAAATCTATAAGATTCTAAATATAAATATTTGAAAGACGGTCTAGAAAAATGATGCTTGCAGATTTTTAATAACATTGTAATATATATTTATATTAATCATTTTGATAATCAATAAATTATGTCGGAATACCATTTACCTAAATTGTATATCTCCTCGGACATTAGGAGTAGGGATGGCAACGGCTGGCTATTTTCGGCTAGCCGTTTTGTAGCCGTTGGCTGTATCTCGTGATTCGGTGATCCAAATGGTATGATTTTAACACTATTCGATTCTTCTCAATGAGACAAATCGAATGGAGCCAAAATCACCCAATTTGGATCACCGGATAACGAGATACAGCCAACGGCTACAAAACGGCTAGCCGAAAATAGCCAGCTGTTGTCATCCCTAATTAGGAGAATTTATTAGTCGATTAATAAATTCATTATATTACTTCTTATTAAAATTACACTATACGCGTCCTAAAAATCAGCAAGAGCATTTATGAATCTACATAAATATTTTGCGACTGCAAAGACATGGCCTGGACCGGTTATTGGACCAGTCTAAGCAATTTTCGACCCATAAATAGAGGTCACGTCTGAATCGGTCCATATCTTATAAAGTCCTGAATCAATAAGTTCTGATGTAGGCAAATTCAGTAATTTATCGGCAACTTGTTGATTCGGTCATTGACAGTTACCAGGATTTATGATAATAGCTATAACGATAAGTCAAAAAACTTAAGTGCACTAAATATTAGATTATTTTGCAAACCCCTAGCCTTGATCTATAGTATAGATGGGCAAACTCCGAAAGTTTTCACTTTTTTACATATGTGATAACGAGTTTACTAATTTCCCCAGCCACTTCGTATAAGTCGCGCGAAACCAGGAACGTGTATTATTAAAATTCTGTATTCTTGCAAATCATTGAAAAAAAGCTCTATTGTTAGATAAAGCATGCTTGTCTTTTAGCATCATACAATACAATAAAACACCTTAGCTGTCGCACCAATTTAGATTCTCAATTTTAATTAGCTAAACGTGGTGGTCCACAAAATTTTGACCTGCATTATACAATAGTTACATATTTTTTATCCGGAATTAAGTTTCTAACTTTTTTATTGCAAAAATAAAATTTTTTAAATAAATAGGCCTGCAATATGGTAAAATTAGTTCAGGAATATTTTTCATTTAATAGGCAGATATAATTTTATTAGTAAAATTTCGAATAATTTCATCCTAAATTTTTGATTGTCGAAAATCTGCTGTGACGAACAGCTAGGATATTACTTGCATTGATTCTGTAATTTGTGTACTTCATACCGAATTAAAGCAATAATTATGATTTATCAGCCAGGAAACAAAAAATTTTGGTATTGGCTAGCTAGTCAGCTAGTTGTCTATCATTGACTATGTCTATAGAGCCTAACCGAACCCATCCCTTTTATGTGCAATTTCTAGTTTGTATATTATAACAAATATATACCAATATCTAAATATAACAAGATCATAGTGTCGCGGGTTAATCAATGACTTTCGTCAAAGAATAACCTAACCCGATTTCAAATGTTTATACCAAAGCAAGTATTTTGCTTATTATTCAAATGCGCTTTATTAATTAAGAGGGAGACTAATACTAACTAAGACAAACTCAAACTCCCTTTATTGTTACTACCGCTTCGATCCTTATATACATATTTGACTCTAATCGTTACATCATATATTGATCATATGACCATTGTCTCTTTAATTGATTACATACTTTATTCGATTGCTCATGCATAACTTACTAATAAACTATCTTGTATTACCTATTAATGCATAATTGTTCTTTCTCTTGATATTAATTATGATCTTACTTCGGTATCTCAAACGTATTACCGACCGCTCATAATCCTGATTAATGATCACATGAATTACGTGTATGAGACACTAATCGATCGATCACTCTTACCCTTATTTTTAAACATGTTCACTGCATACTGTATGTCACCATGACAATAGTAAAATCTTTCTATATTGACATTTTCTCAAAATTTTAATATAAAATGTTGGTGTAACTCACTGTTATTGCATTTAAATTTTTCTTTACCAATAAAAAAAAAAGTTAATATATCCAAAGTAATGTTTATAAAACTTAAATATGCATCTTTTTGTCAAAAAAAATTTCTTATATTAAATTTATAGATTTATTCTGGTCTATAAGTATTTTTTTACTATTATTTTTATACTTTACTTTAATCTTTACTTTCTGGTATTTTTTAATTTATTAAATGCTACTTTCTAATTCAGATGCAATTAAAAATTTATCAAATTGACAAAAAGAAAAAGAAAGCCATTTATTTTTAAAAAATAGTGACTTATATTATAAAACATATTATAGCTGTAGATCAAATGATAATTTGTGTACTACATAATTAAAAGGTAGCTGTGATCAGGTTAATCAAATTTTAATTTAAAAGAAATGTGTAAGCAAGTTTATAATAAAATATTAGATATTAGTAAGCCTGAATATATGAAAAGTTTTGAAAAGAAAACTATATATTTATGTAAAATCATAATTGTTTTAGTTTTGATAATATAAAAAGAAATCTGATTTAATAAAAGATATTGTTAATAAAAATAATGAATATAAATATGTGTAAGTTTAAGTAAAAACTAGATAATAAATATAATTATTAATATTATTTTTATAGATCTGATTATTAGTTTGAAACTTCAAAGAAAATAATACTACTTTTATTATAAATATTCACAACTACAAATGTTAGAAAATAAATTTTATAAGCTTAATTAAGTTAGGTATTTTTTATTATTTATTCTTGTAATTTCTGTAGAGAAACAAAAAAATAAAGTATTTATAAATCAATTTTCATATAGTGGATTACTAAAATAACAATTAGAAATCAAAAATTGTAAATATTAATTTAATTTATAAAATTTACATATTTGTTTTAATAAAATTTAATATAGACTCAAGTATTAAAAAATTTATTTAGAAAAATATTTCTTTAATACTACAATGTATATATTTACAAATTAAGTAAACTTGTTTTAATATAAGTATATTACTAGTAGACTGCTTTTATTTAAAAAGCATATTTAAAAATATTAACTAATTAAAATCAGTATATGTGTTATTAACTAAAAATAATGATAAAGATATTCTTTATAAACCAAGTGCATATATTAAATATTTAACTTTTATTTCTTTACTTTTTAATACTTTTTAATTATAGCCAAGTAATTTTAATTGATATAACATGTAAGTATATAATAACAATATTGTTTACAGTTCTTTTAAAACTTCAAAGAACTCTGATATAGCTTATATATTACTAAAAAAAGAAAATTTGCATCAAAATTCATCAAATATTATATTTTTATATAGTAAATTTTTTTTTAAAATTTGCTCTATTTTATATATCTATTTGGCTAAATAATATAAAATTTTTACAAACTTAGATTTAAGTTGTATCAGAGTTCTTTGGGTTTTGTTCTAGTCAACTTACTAGCAATTACTTCAAAAACATTATTATTTATTTTACTACAAGCTTATTTTATAAATAATTAATTTACAAATGATTTTATTTTATATACAATTATATTTTACTAATAGCTTCTTTTAAAAACAAATAAGCTATTAGTAAAATATTTTGTCACAAAATGAACTTGTTTGTAAATTAATTATAGTAATTATTAGT